TGAGAGAGAAGGAAATAACGAGAGATAGAGAGAAAGAAAGAGAAGAGATAAAAACAGTGAGTTTTATAGAATGGAAGAAAATGCGAGAGAAATAAAAAGCATGCTAGGTTTCAACTTCCATAATAATTCCGGCAGATCATCCTCTACACCTATATATATATATATATATATATATATATATATATATATATATATATATATATATATATGTGTGTGTGTGTGTGTGTGTGTGTGTGTCTTTGAGCATACTGGTCTAATTAAAAACATATTCATGCTGATGCGTTTTTACCATGATACCACGGTTTCATGAGACCAGCAGACGATACCACAGTTTCATGGGAGCAGTAGACGATACCACGCTTTCATGAGACCAACAGACGATACCACAGTTTCAAGGGGAGCAGCAGACGATACCACGGTTTCATGAGAGCAACAGATGATACCACAGTTTCAAGGGAGCATCAGACGATACCACGGTTTCATGAGAACAGTAGACGATAACACAGTTTCATTGGAGTAGCAGACGCTGTACCACTCCTGTATGTACCTACCTCCTCACCTCTACAAAAGCCAGATCAGATAAAAATTGCCAGCTGCCCGTACCGCTCCAGGAACCAACTGATTCCCTCTATACTCTACAAAAGCTAGATTTATTGGGCCTTCAGCTTGTTCAGGAGTTTGAGAGTCCCTAAGTCTTTTTGCATATTCTCAGCATTGGAAGCTCTTCTGGCTGCCTTTTTGATCTGGGTTTTCATTTGTATAAGACTTTCTTTTCCTCGCAGTAGCCTTGGAGATTTTGATTGTAACAAAACACAGCTCTTGATTATTAAGTCCACAAGCAATTTCCAACATTAAACAGGTAGATTTTCTAGATATTACCCTAGACCTTACTAATAGCTCTTTTTCTTATGTGAAGGTTAATTCTAACCCCGTATAGGTACATCCCAATTTCAACCACGCCCTTCTGTTATTAAGCACATACCCTCCTGAATTGAATTTAGGATAAGTACTAACTCTTCTAGCAAAGACGTTTTTAATAGACATAGTGAATTTTATAATTCTGTCCTTAGAAATAGTGGCTACAAGGGTACCACTATTGAATATAGAAATCCTGTTAATTATGACCACAATAAGAAAAGAAGATCCAGGAAGATCATTTGTTTTACTCCCCTTTTCAACGTAATGGTTAAAACCAAAGTAGGACATAAATTTTTAAACCAAAAAAACATTTCCCCGACCCATAACTAATCCACTAAACTACTCAATTATAATACTCTTAAATGAAGCTACAGTTGTGCTGATAACCTGGAAAAATAATTAAGAAACATAATAACAGAATCTTCAAAAAGCATAAGGACTCAAAAAACTTGGCTACTCGCCAGGTTGCAACGAGTAAACTAAGTATCATGACACTAATAATAACTTGTGCAATTGTCGGAATCCTAATAATTGCTCATTACAGAATAATTGTTTAACTAGTTCTCTACTTTTTCTGCGTACAATTTCTACACTAGAAAACTCCAATATTAAAAATTTTACATTGGAAGTACTATGAATACATTCAAAGGACGTTGGCGTGATCATGGGCAATCTTTCAACAGTAGTAATCATAAATACAAGAGTTCATTGTCCAAGTATTTTTGGAGTTTATAGGAGAAAAACAAGACACCTAGTGTTAAATGGAAATTAATTAAGAGAGCTCTAACATGTAATTTCTCTATATGTCCCTTGATATTTATGTCTTAACGAAAAATTTGAAATCATTATATTTAAAGACAAGACTCATCTCTTAAATCAAAGGAATGAACTCACTGTTAACTGTGAACATAGCTCAAAATTTAACTTACTATAGGGATAGTAATATTTTTGACAATAATGCAATGTTACTTTAAGTTTAGTATGTTATTACTTATATTATCTGCTAATCTTCCTATGTACATACATGTAGATATACGTTTATTATGTTTGTGTGTGCACATGTGTGAGTATTTTTATTGATAGATGTATATATGTGTACGTGAATTTATATATATATATATATATATATATATATATATATATGTACTTACATGTACATGTATGTGCGTATATACATACATATATATATATATATATATATATGTGTGTATATATATGTTTGTGTGGATGCTGGTATGTATATATATATATATATATACACGAATATATTTGTACTTGTATTGATATGTTTGTGTATCTCTATGTTTGTATATATGGTTGTTATATATGTGCTTGTTTATATTTTTTAAACGCTTGTATATGTATGGGTGTATATGTGTATGTAGGTATTGTGTGTGCGCGCATATATATATACATGTATATATGTGTGTGTGTGTGTGTATCTATGTATGTATATATCTGTATATGTGTATATCTTAGTATTTTTGAATTAGTTATCATGGCTAACTATAATCTACTTTTGTTTGATAACGATTTTAAAATTGCTTGAGGATTTAATCAACAGTTGTGTTTTGTTACATTTTATTCTTGTATTTACTTTTACTTTATATGCTTTATAATTATTGTTAGTATATATGTAGGTATATATATATATATATATATATATATATATATGTTACTGTGTAGGTTGATATATTTATATTTATTTCTATGTGTGTATATATGCATATGCTTATATGTATGAATGTATGTGTATGCATGTATATGTGCGTATATAGGTATATATATACGTATATATATATATATATATATATATATATATGTATATATGTTACATTTTAATGTTGTAAGCACTAGTTTCTGTCCAGTTTTAAACTGTTTTATCTACTCATACACTATTCATTTATTTACAGTGCATGCAGAGTACTGCTCTTCCGTAGCTTTGTCCCACTATGCCCACAGAAAGCGCGCTACGGATCGTTGGTCCTCGATGGCGCAATCGCCGACTGGAGCGTTCATACGTCTGACCTCGTTACTCCTTACCACTCAATGAACGAGGGAATGCTACCTGAGGCTAGCTACCCGATGTATTTTTACCGGCTAATAACAAAATTGCCTTTATTTTCTGATTTATCCTAGAAATAGTAATCGCACAAATGTGGTATTCCAGTAATAATAGGAGTACTAGGAATTGTTAAAAAGAATACTGATTTGCACATTAAGAAAAATCACTCATTGTCTGAGATTCAGAAGACTGTGCAGCGCCTACACACACATTGTAATATGCCCTATAACTTTTATGCAAAAACCTACCTTTACCGCAGGTTCCGTGGTAAAAGACTTGGTAAAAGATTGAATCAAAAAAAAAAAACTGGTAATAATAATAATAATAATAATAATTAGTTTAACTAGAACTATCTTACAAAACTCTAACTGAATTCCAAAAACAGAATATCAGCCATAAACACCTTGGCTGTCCCTGTATACAGTTTCAATATTCTTAACTGGACCATTGCTGACATTAAGCGAATGGACGCCGTTTCTCACCTGCCATAGCATGCATTGTCCCAAGGCTGATGTTTATCGTCTGTATATGCGTAGATTCAAAGGAGGCAGAGGATTAGTTCAACTAGAACTCTCTTACAAAAATACAGCAATCGACCTTCAAAGGTACTTGGAAACTACAGAAGACTGGATGGTGATCTGTGTCAAAGAACATGAAAGAAATAAGAGAATTTATACAGTAATAAAAGAAGCCAACAAATTCAAAAGATAATTTCAAGTGGGTGAAGAAGGGTAATTAGACTATAATAAACCTACTGCAGTGGCAAAGAACTTAAAAATGGAAGCAAATGTAACAAATGCAGAAACAATGGCAAATGAATAATGGACTATTCCGTTTTGATCATGTAAAAAGAGGGGGAAAGACACAACTTGATTTCATTAAGAAAAAGAAAGAAAGAAAGAAAGAATGAAATAGAAAAAGAGGTCAATTTCAAATCTTTTCATTTGTACTCCCTTACTTCTTAAAATAACGACCGGCTTTCATATTTATGATTGTTATTGCAATATTTCGTTAAAGTTTTTAAGCTCAAATGTTACGCCTGGCCAATATTTCATGAACGATGAAAGAAAGAAGGGAATACAGTAGTGTTTAACATATCCTGCCAATACCTCATGAATAATGGACTATTCCGTTTTGATCACGTGAAAAGAGGGGAAAAGACACAACTTGATTTCATTAAGAAAATGAAAGAAAGGAAGGAAGAAAGAATTAATGAATGAAATGGAAAAAGTTGCCAATTTAAAATCTTTTCATTTGTACCCCCTTACTTCTTAAAATAACAACCAGCTTTCATTTTTATGATTATTATTGAAGTGTTTTGTTAAAGTTGTTGTTCAAATATTTAATGATGTGGTAGGAGAATTTCTACGGGTATTTTATTGCCGTAGAACTCGCCATGAGCTTATTCAATCATTAACTTAAGAATTACGATCCACCAAAGGATATATCATTATCAATGTAAATAATGAAATAATTTATAGTACCTTAGAAATACAGACAGATGTTTTGGTTTAGTAGCCATTTGCTGTGTTGGGCAAGACTTCCCTTAGCACTGATTCTTCTATATTCAATTACCTTATCCTCCATACTAAATTTGTTGTCACTGAACCATATACGGAGGTATTTTTTAGTATTTAATAAATACTAATTCCTCATCCTGAGTTTTTGTTTTTTAAGATGGATTCAGAAGAAGTGCCATCAATTCTATCTACTCGAATTCCAGAGTAATATTTTATTAACTGTTTTCTTCATTGGGTTTCGGAAATGCAAACCCTTATAAGCCTTTATGGAATTAGAAATTTTAATACTTTTATCCAAATTTTGAACAAGTGTTCCACGACCTTCAACTCACCTGTTCTTGTCTTAAGGACACATCACATTGAAACACCTGTTTGCGTACAATCACTGAAGTTAAGCAATAGCGAGACTGGCCAGAACGTACATTCGGTGCCGTTTGGGAATACCAGGTGTTGTATACTTGGAAATACGGACAGAAATGGTTTACGCCCACGTAACTTCTAAGCACCGGTTCGTGTATGATCACCGAAATTAAGCAACATTGAGCCTGCTCAGCACCTAGGTGGGTGACCGTTTGGGAATATCAGGTGCTGTACACTTGGCTGTGCGGGTAGAAGTGACTTACGAATACAACGCGTTGAAACACCAGCTCCCATACGCCCACCGAAGCTAAGCAACCTACAGCCTGCTCAGTACTGAGCTGAGTGGCCCCTTGGTAATACCTATTATTGTAAGCGTAACTTCGGAACACGGGTTCCAGTACGATCACCGACGTTAAGCAACGTCGATACTGGTCAACACCTAGATGGGTGACTGTCTGAGAATACCATGTGCTGTAAGCTTGGATGTGCTGGTAGAAATGACTTACGCCCACATCACGTTGAAACACCGCTCACTGCACGATCACCGACGTTAAGCAACGTCGAACATGATCAAGACCTAGATGGGTGACCTTTTGGGAATATCACGTGCTGTAAGCTTGGATGTACGAGTAGAAATGACTTACGGCTACATCACGTTGAAACACAGGTCTCCGCACGATCACCGACGTTAAGCAACGTCGAATATGGTCAACACCTGGATGGGTGACCGCTTGGGAATACCACGTGCAGTAAACTTGGATGTACGGGCAAAATGACTTACGACCGTATTACATTGAAATACCGGTTCCCGCATGATGACTGAAGTTAAGCAACGTCTAGTCTGGTCAACACCTATATGGGTGACCTTTTGGGAATGCCACGTGCTGTAAGCTTGCATGTACGGGGAGAAATGACGTACGGCTACATTACGTTGAAACACCAGCTCCAGTACGGCCACCGAAGTTAAGCAACGTTGAGCCTGGTTAACACCTAGATGGGTGACCGGTTGGGGATACTATGTGCTGCAAGCATGGATGTACGGGTAGAACTGGCTTACGCGCACATGACTTCGGAACACCGATTCCAGTACGATCACCGACATTAAGCAACGTCGAGCCTGTTCAACACTAAGATGGGTGACCGTTTGGGAATACCACGTGCTGTAAGCTTGGATGTGCGGGTAGAAATGACTTACGCCCACATGACTTCGGAACACCGGTTCCAGTACGATCACCGACGTTAAGCAACGTCGATCCTGGTCAACACCTAGATGGGTGACCGTTTGGGAATACCACGTGCTGTAAGCTTGGATGTACGAGTAGAAATGACTTACGGCCCCATCACGTTGAAACAAAGCTCACTGCACGATCACCGACGTTAAGCAACGTCGAACATGATCAACACCTAGATGGGTGACCTTTTGGGAATACCACGTGCTGTAAGCTTAGATATAAGGGTAGAAATGACTTACGACCGTATTACATCGAAATATCGGTTCCCGCATGATAATTACGTTGAAGCCGAGTTTCAACTGGGTCCAGTTGGTTTCGTTATATTCACTTACACGCGAATAGCTTTGGGAAAGATATTAATCCACGTCTTCTCCCGCTATGGATTAATTAGTAAGACGTGTATCACTAAGCAATTATTAAGTCCAAAAATAAAATAAAATAAAAATTGCGTACAAAATAATTAGATTTCGGGTTGAAATAACCCATAGAGGTGTTGATATGCCGTTAGACAATGACAGCTAATAGCCAGTCACCTGTTCGCTCTTTAGGTATCAAGACTTCCTGTCTTTTGACGTCTAAGGTTGAGACTGGGGGTCAGCTCGTATAAAACAAAGCCGACTAAATCAATATTGTCTTACCCCTCCATAAAATACTTATAATCTAAAAATATTTTCTGGCTTTAAATAACCTGCAAAGGGTTGATAAACCGTAGAAAATAAATCAATCAATGAAATACTGATTAGCTACACAGGCATGTCTTTTTGATTTGTTTACATTCTCTGGAATATAAATGTATAGAAACTACTGAGGCCACAAAGTGAGGGAACAGTTTATATATTGATTGTAATATAGAATTGATCCCCCACTTTATATCAATATTATATTTCTGGCTTTAAATAACCTGCACTGGGTTGATAAGCAGTAAAAAAAAATAAATCCATCAATGAAATACTGATTAGTTACACAGGAATGTTTTTTTTAGATTTATTTACATTCTCTGGAATATAAATGTAAAGAAACTACCGTGGTCACAAAGTGAGGGGTCAGTTTATATATTGATTATAATGTAGAATTGATCACTCACTTTATGTCTACATTATAATCTTTGGCTTTAAATAACCTGCAAAAGGTTGATAAACTGTAAAAATGAATCAATCAATCAATGAAATTCTGATTAGCTACTCAGGCCAGTCTTAGATTTATTTACATTCTCTGGAATAGAAATGTATAGAAACTCCGCGAACACAAAGTGAGGGATCAGTTTATATAGTGAATGTAATATACAACTGACCCCCACAAATTATATTTTCTGCCTTTAAATAACCTGCAAAGGGTTGATAAACCGTAGAAATCAATCAATGAAATACTGATTAGCTGCACAGGCATGTCTTAAAGATTTATTTAAATTTTCTGGAATATAAATGTATAGGAAATAACGTGGTCACAAAATGAGGGATCAGTTTATATATTGATTGCAATATAAAATTGATCCCCCACTTTATATCTACCTTATAATTTTTGGCTTTAGATAACTTGCAAATGGTTGATAAGCCGTAGAGCACGAATCATTTAATGAAATATTTATTAGTTACACAGGAATGTCTTTTTGTTTCATTTACATTCTCTGGAATAGAAATGGATAGAAACTACCTTGGACACAAAAAGAGGGATCAGTTTATATATTGATTGCAATATAGAATTGCTCCCCCGCTTTATATCCACATTAAAATCTCTTGTTTGTTCATGAAATTCTAATTAAGTACGAATCCACCTCTTCTCCCCTCAAGTATGGGTTAATTAGTAAAACTTGCATCACTAAACAATTATTATCTCCAAAAATTAAATTAAAAAAAAATGCGTACAAAATATTTAGATTTCGGGTTGAAATAACCCATAGAGGTGTTGATATGCCGTTAATAACAGCCAATAGCCAGTTTTCTCTTTAGGTGCAAAGACTTGCTGTCTCTTGACATCTAGTCTTGAGACAAGGTGACAGCTCGTAGAAAACAAACCAACAAAAGTAATGGGAGAATAATAATAATAATAATAATATATACTCTCTTTGAATATTACTATGAATTATTCATATAAAAAGAAAATTAGTAAAGTTAATGATATAAAATGGCGAAATACATCCGCTAACAAAATTTTAAAGATAAATTAACCTACTAATCACTCGATGAATGTTATGATCCTTGTTTTTTAAAATTATAAAGTGTATTAGGTCTTCCTTAAATACGCAAGTACTTTCGACTGTACGTTCAGTCATCTTCAGGCATGGAAAATTTTTTTTGGTTTTTTGGTAAAATTCATGTAGCGTCCAAGACAAAAAATATAATGCGAATCGGAATACGTTTTTTTTAAATGTGTTATTGATAACGGATACACACTTGTAAAGCGTGCAGTCGCAACGCTAAGGTTGAATTTTTTTTTTAAATTAAGAGAGTGCGTTTTTCACTAATATGGCAATTTGAGAATTTTTTCTTGTAGGAGTTTATCAATCAATGTGGCATGAACTAAATAGTCCAATAGAGTAATGTCTTAGTTGTTTTCCTGAAAGTTTGCACGTCGGATCAGTTCTTTTAAATCAAATATGTGGTGCAGTTTAATTTATATTACAATGAATCATTCATACAAAAAGTAAATTAGCAAAGTTAATGATATAAAATAGCGAAATCCCTTCGCTAATAAAGATGAATTAACCTACTAATCATCCGGTGAATGTTATGATCCTTGTTTTTTAAAATTATAAGCTGTATTAGGTCTTTCTTAAATACGCAAGTACTTTCGACTGTACGTTCAGTCATCTGATCAACAGTTGCATAATATCTGGGTTCTTACAGTGTCATGTCGCGCATGGAAGGGTGTCCCTGCATACACCTCCGGTGGGCAACCCTGAGGCCACATTATGTTGCAGTCTGTGTCAGTAACTTTCTGCTCATGTCACATCAGTTGCTAGTTATTTGTTTGTTTTTTTTGCGTAATAGGTGTAGACCAGACTTTTATCGCCTGGTCAGTACTTCAGCCCCTTCTTGTAAACAGGAGTGGAGGCTCATCCCTTGTTTCCTGTTTAGGAAGTTGTTCCCTGATCTTTCCTTTTTCTCTGGACTCAATACTAGTGCTGTCGTGAATCTCTTGTGATGTGTACGGTTTGTGGGAACGTCTCTTCGTACTGATGGTACTGGGCTGGCAATTTTCTGGTTGCTTTTCCCGACTGGTAGTTAGGAGCCCTCACTCTGGCGTAGCGTCTTGAGAAGCTGCTCGGATCAGTCAGTTATGTGCCATGCGTGGTGAACCGCTTAGGCAATCATGTATCTTTCGATATATGACTGACGAGGCAGATTTCTTTCCCCTCAGTAAGTTGCCATTTCTTTTTGCGGTAGACCCGTTGCCATCCAAGACTTTAGAACCCGGTCTATCTTGCTATTTACCCATAGCTGGGGGGAGAGAAGGATTCTTTTTCCTAACCGTGAAATGAAGGTTGCCCTGATTGGGTTTTCTTCCAGTTCCTTCCATACGAACGTTGGTGTTCCTCAACGCTCTATCCTTGGTCCTACCCTGTTTCTTATCTTTATCAATGATCTTCTTGACGTCATCAGTTAAGTCAGCATATACGCAGACGACATTACTATTTACTCCTGTTTCAATCGTAAATCCAGCATTGCTGGACAAAGTTAATCTTCTCTGCGCCTGCTTGGTCTCGCGTTTTCCACTGACCTGAGGTAGAACTACATTGAATCAATAGCTGCATCTAGTGCAAGGAAAGTTGGTTCTCTGTGTCTCACCAGAAGGCTTTTCTCGTCTGAGTCCATCCTACAAATCTACCATTCGTCCATGCATTGAATACTGTTGCCATATATGGTCTGGTGCCACGCAGTTCATCTCGAGGTTGTCGACAAAATCCAAAGACGGATATGGAACGTGATAGGTCCTGACTTCCGGTCCCGACACCAGTCACTTTCTCACCGACCTAATGTGGCTTCCCTCTGTCTTTTCTACAAATATTTTCATGGCATCTGCTCTGACAAGCTATTTTCACTGGTGCCCCGACTGCATGAATTTAAGCGTGCTACCAGGTTGGCATCTCGGCCCCACCCTCTCACTGTCGAAACAGGTAAATGTAACCGCCTCTTCTGTTCCAACAGATTTTTGGCTCGCACTTCCCGACAGTGGAATTCCCTTCCACTTATTGCTTCCCAGATAGCTAAAACATTCAAAAAATGAAATGTAATGTCAATTGACATCTTCTGTTGCCTTGTTCGCCGTTATTTTCATCCTTTCCTCTACGGCCCCCCTTTATCCAGTCTTTTCTCTTAATTAGACTCTCGGTAGACCCTTGCATTCTCCTGACCCTCCCGCCTTGCCTGGGGTAAAATGCTTGAATATATATATATATATATATATATATATATATATATAGAAAGAGAGAGAGAGAGAGAGAGAGAGAGAGAGAGAGAGAGAAATAGATAGATAGATAGATAGATAGATAGATATAGATAGATAATATGAACAGACTGAGATAGATAGATAGATAGATAGATATAAACAGACTGAGATAGATAGATAGAATAGATAGATAGATAGATATATTTTTTAGACTGAGATAGATAGATAGATAGATAGATATGAGATAGACTGAGATAGATAGATAGATAGATAGATAGATAAATAGATAGATAGATAGATAGATATAGATAGAATAGATATGAACAGACTGAGATAGATAGATAGATAGATAGATAGATAGATAGATAGATAGATAGATATAAACAGACTGAGATAGATAGATAGATAGATAGAATAGATAGATAGATATATATATATACTAGATAGATAGATAGATAGATAGATAGATAGATAGATAGATATGAACAGACTGAGATAGATAGATAGATAAATAGATAGATAGATAGATAGATGCATGCCTTGAAAAAATCCCTCGGAGGACGATACGCTTAAGCTAATATTGATAGTTTTTCCTCTTATATTTTTTTTTTCATATATATATATATATATATATATATATATATATATATATATATAATATGTTTCAAAAATTTCGCTCGAGGATGA